AAAAGGAAAAATTTTTCGTGTCAATAGTTTTTTACCACTGTACACGACATCCGTTTATCCAGCAACCAATCTTGTCACCAACGAGACATTTCGGCCCAAACACCGTGCCCCTTCCACTTTCGTTATAAAGCCTGGAAGATTAAACTACAAATACATTGCAAAGCACGTTTTCAAATTTATCCTTTCACAACTTTTGCTTTACAGAGACAAAAGGCGTTATCATTGACTTGTTTTTTACACACTTATAAAATAAAACATTGATTTTTGATTAAATAAATGGCGTTGGAGTTCGCTCATCAGAAATCCATGATAGACATGTAATAGCCGAATTTATGAGTATATTTATTCCAAAATAAACAAGATATATCGGAGTATCGACGAAGCTCGATTTAATACATACTGGATGCAGTAATAAAAGACAAAACTATGAAAAATTCAATTATGATATAAATATACATCATTCTGTATTAGTCTCAAGAAAGCACCACTGAAATGTTGAATATTTTTGCACCACGTAAAATGCGTGTGACCATGTCAATAAAAGTCAAACAGACATGTCTATGCTCGAATGAAAAAAAACAAAAATTTGAAATCTGAAGCCATTTCCTTTAATAACAATATGATAGTCATCATATAAAGATTTTAAAGTTAAATTATAAGTTAATAAGTTAAGAGGAAAGAACTATTGAAATAAAGATGCTATCGTTATAAAAATCAAAAGCAGGCCACATATCCTAAGGGTGATTAAACAGTATTCAAGTGATGAATACTGGAACCACCCAATAAGGAAATTAAATTTCCACAAGCACAACTTTAATTTCGTGCTGAACGACCTTTAAGGATAGGAAATATAACATCTCTGATGTAATATAAACCTCGTCATCCCCCGTACGAAAACGTTGCAGGAATACGCTTAAAATGTCCGTGTTTATAAGATTTTCCTGCTAATTTAAGACGGACATGTAATTTTGTAAAAATTCCTGCTAAGCAAAATCATATTCCGCCAAAGGCTTTTGATGAAAATATTGGAAGAACAATAATTTACAAGGGCTTTAGGACTTTGAATTTTGTTTATTATAATTATTTGTAAACATGAATTTTGTACTATGACTTTTTCATTAACCAGAAATTTAACTTAGAATGTTTTGCTAGACGGAAAATTCTCAACTTCTGCAGAAAACAGGTAAATTATAAATAGTAAAAGTGATGAACAATTACTTTGCTGCTTTTATTCAATGTTGGTTTACAAAACTATTTTTTAAAATAAAACATATAAATATACACAATCATTAATTGATAAAAAAAACAACAACTCTACTACTAAAATTAAAACTAAGAAGATTATTATGGTGTGGCCACTGTTGCAGAGAATATACTTCACTGTGTAAAGTTTGTGTATGAACTATTTCACTCATATATTAAGATCTTTAATCTATGTAAAATTAAGGTTTGTAATATAATGAAATAACTAGTATCCCTTATAATTTCTTATTAATAGGAAAAATAAATAAATAAATACTGCCACTAGTAACCACTCTACGTAACCACTCTACTATAATGATTTACCACCACCGACCTGATAACACAGATCTGATAATGGTTTCCCTATCATAAGTTCTGCTACAGTCCAGACTATTCCATTTGATTTTTTTTTTGGGGGGGGGGGAGGGGAAAAGACTTTAAAAACATTTTTATTAAAAGTCTTAAAAAAGGGGCATTGCCAAGTTTTTTTTTAAAAAAACTTTTAAAAATAATAAATTTGAAATTTTACATTCTCCCTTTATTTTCTGGTTGTTTTTTAAAAAATAATAAAACGGAAAATTTGGTTGGATAATCCCTGTTTAACATCATATGATGTTTCTGTGCAGTTATAAAGTTGTTAAATTTGAAATCTAAAGTATCTGAGTCAGCAAACTCTTGGAAATTGAACAAATAACAAAGAATCTTATTGATATACAAGAAATTGTGGAGAACATATATAAGCAATGTAGCAGATAATATTTTGTTTAAAATGTTAGGATTGTATACAGTTGATTAAGACTTTGAGACTTGTTAATGAAAATGACAATAATTTGGATATATTTAATTGTAAATGAAATTTGAATGCTACGTTATGACCTGGGACAAGAAGATAAATACCAGAATCATAGAAAATCAGGTAAATAGCTTTTGGATACATTTATGAAAAACAAGTGTTTTAAACAATAAAATATATTTCAAATAAATTAAATAATTTAGCATTAAATTGAGAGTACATTTTTAACACTACGTTTGATTTAATGACTTATAGCTATGTATATAATGTATATTGAGTTATGTGCTGAATGTTGTAGTGGTGTGTGTGGGGGTGGGGTGGGCGGTTGGAGAAGTCCCAGACTATTTAATAGCTTAGTTTTTCCCTAGGGCAGTGATTTTCTGAGAATATATCTTTTTCCTGATTACAATATTTTTAGTGGAATTTCCTGCTAAAAAAAATTCCTAAGGCGGAATTTTCTCATGCTAGTTCTTTCCTTAAACTGATTTTTTTCCTGGTTAACATTTATTAGGCAGAATTATTTTTCCTGATTAAATTTTCCCCGGTGGATTTTCTCCCTCTACCCTAACTGTATTTCTCCTAATTTTTTTGCATATTTCGCAGCATATTCCTGCTTATAGGAGGAATATGCGATATGTAAACCTGAAATGCCTTAGACGGATTACGCCTAGTAGCTTAGGCAGAATTTCTGCAGTTTTCAGGGCGGAAGTTTTCGTACGGGCGCATAATGTGAGTAATGACAAAGATTAATTATCTTAGGTCTAGTGTCGATACCCTTTATTATAACAGAGATACTACTTTAAAATAAATCATATAAATTCCGAGTTCAAAAATTAAAAGGAGTTAATTCTGTAAATACAAGAGCTATTGCTATAAATCTTATCACAAATGACTAAGGTGTTGATAACAACCATATTTTTGAAGTTTGAATTAAATCCAAGAAGAAATGAAGAAGTTAAAAAAAGAAATATTTTTATTTGACAGGGAGATAATACGGAATATTGACGCTAAAGTTACGAACCTTTCATATTATTATTACATGGGAATTGATATGTAACTTAGATTAAATGTTTAAAGTAAATCCTTTAAAAATAAATAAGTTATAACAAAAAATAACAATTTTATGAAAGGAAATCCAAGTTCAAGTTGACAAGGGGGAATAATTCTGGAAATGTTCATGCCAGACTTAGGAATATTGTCGCACAAGATGTCGGTGATAATAAGTAACAAATATTTGAAGTTTGAAGAACATACCTTAAGAAATGAAGAAGTTATAGTAAAAATAACATTTTTTAACTTAAATTCTTAGTTCAAGGGGGGATAAAAATTAATACAATGTGTGCTAAAGTAATGAATCTTGTCACACATCATATGAGTAACGATAAGAGACATATATTTGGAGTTTGCGATTGATTCCTTTCGAATAATAAACAGTTACAGTAAAATAATAATATTTATAATAAAGAAAATTCTAAGTTCAAAGGTAAATAATTCTGAAAATATTGATTCTAGAGTTATGAAAAATATATTTAAGGTCTGAAGTTTATACCTTAAGATATAAAAAAGTAGGAGTAAAAATAATATTTTTTTGACGGAAATTCTAAGTTCAAGGGAAGATAATTCTCAAAATATTGCTTCTGAAGTTATGACCCTTATCGTGTAAGATTTGGTTGATGATAAGGAACATGTATTTGAAGTTTGTAGTTGATAAAAATAAAAAATGAAAAAGTTAAGTAAAATTTGTTTTACTGCACTAAAACTTTAATCTGAAATCTGGACGCCGACACCTACGCCTGGATGAGTAGGACAGCTCTAAATATACTTCGTATAGTCGAACTTAAAATTAATGGCAAATTTTTTAATAAGACTTTCATAAGGGTCAATAATATGTGAAACATCTATCACTCTTGGCTTTCTATATATACTATGACTGTTATTATTTAGAATAAGAATCTCACAATATTCCATTGACAAAAAACGGTTAAATTTGATTTTCGAAGACACATTTCGCTAGCTCACCCATAATCAATGTATTTCATTTTACTAATGCAATATTACAATAATAAAGTCACGTTTAAATCACCTGCAGCAAATGACATTATTATGACATTTAATGTAAACATTTATTACTACATTGTTAAAATGTCTTACCGGCCATCGTCTGCATGATATCCTATAGAGTTCTTTCCCCATCCAGGCTGCATATTTCCTGGGTAACCGTTTGGCACCAAACCCAAAGCTTATGTCATAAAGATAAGTGAAACAATTATCGTTACAAATTGCGTTCCGAATCTTTAGTGAACATATAAAACATAATTTCTAACTTTTTGATAAAGCAAACTTTTTGAAAAAAAGTAAGAGAATATTTTGCATTTGTACATTGTTAAGCATTTTATCAATACATTGTCGTCAAAGAATAAATAAGCCTTTTCATACCAATTGTTCCGCTTCGTCCTAAACTCAGTATCTCAATTTCGAAATATCTGTCATTCTCTATTGGACACTTATCAACGTACAGTCCAACATCTCCGTTTCCATTGTCTGCATAACTGCAATTGTATGCGTATATTTATATTCTTATATAAAAATAAAGTAAAAAAAAAAACGCTTTATGCTTCATCACTAGAGTTAAAAGGATAAAGTAAAATATATAACGAAAACCCGATTCCTGATTAGTTTTTTATATCCGTCATTACATAAATAAATTATGATAATGCAAAGTTTTTTTTAAATAATTTAAATTATATATTCCGTTTTCCAAACAAGAAATTGGGATATGATTATTTGATTTTTAATAAACGTAACTAATACACTGTTCGTTTTTATTGGACAACCACTAAAAGCAAAAAAAAAAAAAAAAAAAAAAAAAAAAAAAAATCAAAAACAACAGAAAAAAACCCCAGAAAAAAACTATAATTGTTGAATTCTATCAAAGGCTAAAATAATACGTGAGATATTCGCCATCCACTTTCATATGTCTACATATCAATTGCCTTTCTAGTAATGGTGTTGAAACAGCCTATAAAGAAATAAAAGATGTTTAAGACACAGTAAATTATAGTATATGTATTTAGAAAATTACCAAGATATAGTTATCTCATCTTCATAATTGTGTTTCTTTGCTCCAGAAGCTTGACATACCTGCTCTTAGTGGTTAAGCAATATTTTAAGTTTAATTTAACTTTAACATTAAAAACGTTTTAAAAGAATGCATTTGATAGAATTTGAGGAATGCACTGTAACAAAAAATTAAACAAAGAAATTGATATACAACAAATATTCCTTTTTAAAATGAAAACCTTTTATAATAATGTTTGAGAAATGGAACCTTTAAATCAAAGAAAAGGGATCTAACTTTACAAAAATAATTTAAGGGTTACCTGCTCTTTTGAAATGGCGTCATATTTTGACAAAATACATTTTAACTGAATTTGATTATGTATATTGTGATGGTTTCTAAGAAAAATAGATTTTAACAAAAGGTAAGCACGACAAAATGGAAGAGTGATCACAAATTAACACTTTATTTTCCTTGACCTTTAAAAGAATAAACTTATGATATAGACTCACACTTCTTGCTGTATCTTCAAATGTCTTCAAAGGTTCTTGTCAGAAGCCAAAATGGTTTCCCTTTAACTCAGTAATGGAAGGTGAGATATTGCTAAAGAAAAGTATTTCATAACTTAAAAGAGTCATGACCTTTATCAATTAACTACAAGAAGAATGTCGTCTCAATATTTGTAAAAAAAAAAACAAACTTAATATATAAGAAACCATTACCGAATACATCTTCGACTTCCTGAAGCCTTTCCAGTTGACCAAGGCTCGCCAAAGTGCGGGTTATATTGCTATCCTCTATGAATTCGTAAGTCTCAATTTTGTTTCTGCTTTTGATATCATTAAGTTGTTTCATAAGTCGATCCAACTTAGGTTTTTGTGAAACAGAACAGACAAAGAGCTGACTTGGACTCTGCACCTTTGACTTAAATAAATCAGATATAACATTCAGATCATTTATCAAACTTTCAGTTTCGCCTTCTAACTTTTCCATACTCAAACTATCTCTGTCCTTTATGCATTCGCCTTCTTTAAGCATACGATCTCTCAAGTTGTTGATTTGTGTAGTTATCTCTTCCCAAAACAGATTAACTTCCTGTTTAAACTTATCATTGATATCATCAACTTGAACTTTATTGATCTTTATTGACGACAATAATCGTTTAGCTTCAGTCGTGCATATTTCCGGTCCTTTGGCCAAAGACTCCAGCTCTGTTGTGCCTTTAAGATCATTCGCCTTATCAAGAATATAATCGACCTTACATGATCTATGACCTATGACCATACAATCTCCACAACCAACTTGCTTGTGCTGTGCACAGTAAAACTTCACGGATTCGCTAAAGTGTTGCTCGCATTTCTCAAAATTACTAGAATCTTCTCTCCGGGTTATTTCCTCATTACAGTCCATTAAAGTGTGATCTCGATTAAGCTTATACTTTTTGTGTGTATTAAAACAACTGGAACACATATACTCTTCACAATTCGTACAAAATCCATCCGCTTGAGTCAACATATCACTTTCTTCACATGGCTTACAAGAAAAATTATTTATTTCCCTCTTTCCAGGAACCTCCATTTTTTCAAACAGAATTATTCAATGTAGTAAATGAAAATTGAAGGCTAAGTCATTCATTAATTTACTGTATCAAATTCATACATCTGTGGAGGACGACATCTAAAAAAGAAAAGGATATACAGTATACTAAAATTAAATTAAGAAAACATATACATGCACGGTTTAACATTCAATACAGCTGTAGCTAATGGGTTAATACCGAAGTGAGACTGACGTTTTATTTTCTCGCTAGATTATCTAATTAATTTGCAGAAAGTAATGGAGATATATATATTAAAAACAATATTTCTGTAATAAAAATCTATGACAACAAATATGTGACCAGACCGCGTATATTTTATCTAAATACGAATTTATAAGATCGGGTGTATGAAAACAACTTTAATGTAATAATTTAAAAGTTAAAATAATCATAAAGCATACAAACTTGTAAACTTCCGTTGTATTTAAGAGTTCTCAAATTGTCACTGTTTATGCTTTATTTGCGTTTGTAGACACGCTTTGTTTATGGCCGGATCGATTTTCAGATAATTGTGTAGATTTTTAACACAGTGTTAACAGTGTACATATAATGAGATTCTTTCAACCCTATTTTGTTTAACTTTATGCAGAAGAAAAAATACACAGTTTAATAAGCACTTAAAATTTTAATGCAAAGAAATTGTTTTTTTCCTGATAACTCAGCATATGCTTAGTTTAATCTACAAAAGTACGGTATATAAGCTTAATAGAAACCGAAAGTTGAATTTTACATGCCAAATGAGTTTTTAAAGTATTCTTGCTAATATGCTCTGATTAACTACAAACAAATAATAACAGTAATAAAACAAAACGATCCTTTTTTTCATCATTTTGTTCCACATATTGTAGCCTTAAGAAAATTATAAAAAAGAAAGTAGGTTGATTATCATAGCAATATATTTTATAATTTAATTATATTTAAACCGATACGGTGTTATAACATGTCTATCTTGCATTTCATAAAATAAATACATACCAATATACATGTAGTTAATACCTAAGTACAAACTTAAACAAATGTGTTTTTGCCTTCTTCGTCAAGCAAATGATGTCATAAAATAAGACGAATCGTTTTGCAAAATACCGTTATCGACATCACAAAATTTTACGCTTATTTCAAACTGTTTAACCTGTCGACAAAATTTAGTTCATCCTCGTTTTACCAATAACTTTAACTTGTATGTAAAATTTAATCTGTTTAAATCTTTATCTATGTCAAAACCTTTGCTAAATGATGATTATGCTTATAACAATTGTCTTAATTTTTCGTCATGTATTTATTGTCTTATATTTATGAAATTGCACCAAACATCGTTCTTTTAAGCAAAACTATATGATAAAATCATATTGCTGTACTTTATGATACTGCATACCTAGCCATTTAATAAACATTTACTCTCCTAATTAGCACATTCACTCACACCAACACATCTTAGCAAGGACATTAAACAAATCATTAATAATTACATTACAAAAATGTATTAAAGGAACAAGAAATCATGCATTAAGGCAAAAATGTATGCTTTGTTCTTCAGTACCGTTGAATTGTATGAGTTGTACTTCACGGTTCAATGCGAGCCTGTGTGTACGTTGTAACATTTGAAATTAAACCTCTCTGGTTCCAGTTTAAAATAGAGATCCTTTCAAAATTGACTTAAAATACAATACTGAATGAAGTAAAAGATTTTCAGAATAATCGTCGTCAAACAAATTTGTAAATTATTTGTCTTACTCTTTAAGTAACTGGACAGACACTTCACGCAGTTTTTGCGATTAAACAACTTTTCCCCTCCCTTCCCTATAAATATCAGTCTTACTTGTCTCAAAAAATAGACAGAACATCAACAGTGTAGCAATACCACGTGACTATGACGTCATTTTCGGCATCATTTCCAAGACAAATATTGCTCGATTCGGAAAAGAAAATAGCCGTAAATATTTCATTTCTGTACCAATTTCTTTGGGATATGCACCAGTCTACGGGGAAAAATATAAGCTTTCCACAGAATATTGGATCTTCGTCAGTTTATAAGCCGTTTTATCAAACACTCTGCATAACCTTAGAAGTTGCTTGTATTAGAGCGGGCTTCAGTTGCAAGCTATTTCGTTTTCTGGCGTTATCTGGTCTACGCCATGATTAAAAAGTCAGGTTTACATCAACGGGGAGTACGGAAGGCAAAACTCTGCTTAAATATGTTCATATTTTTATTATGAATTACATAAATCTTATACTTTTCTTCAATTGTCAATTCTGGCACCAGTTCCAAGTCGAAAAAAGGGACTACAGTTTAAAGCAGATTTTAGAATCCGTGCAAATGCGAAGCAACATGTCTACCGTTCTCTTTCTACAATTTAGTTTTTCATTGTTGATCTTTCACAGAGAGATTGTGAAAAATATGATTGTTCCTTAATGCAATAACACTTAGGCCTACTTGTATCGCAAAAGTGCACGTCAAATCACGTAGATTAAGTCCTTTTGAAAATAATATATTGGTTTCGTTTTGAAGATGTTTAAAGTATTGCTCATCTTATCTTATGTAGTAAAATGTGTTTTATTCTATTTCACAATGGCGTAATTTATAAGCAATATATGTGCTCTCAGTGAGAGAAAGAGTTAAAATAAAAAAAAAAACAGATTTTGTATGCTACGGAAAGGATTACACTTTAACGTGAGTGTTGTAAAGCTTAAGGAATTTTTTCTGTCTATTTTTTGTAAAGAGTAACTGACAAACACTGACACTCGTGAATATGACGAATAGGTTCTTCTGTCCTCAAAAGAGAGACTTTTAAAAGTATATATTTTTTCTGGAATTGCCGTATTATAAATTTCTATAGAGTTTGATAAACGAAATCACAATTTGAAGTATATGTATCGGTATTAAAATCATGAATCTAATTGTCACGCGCATTAACATGACGTTGACATTTTATGCTTATTAAACTATAAGCACTATAAGTGGTCCTTTTTTAAATCTTAAAATGCTACAAAAATCATGTTGAGGACATCTGAAGGTCATGCCGCGTGCAATAATCCATGCATTTTCAGCCAATGACCACATCGATGAGAAATAGTCCCAAATAGCCCTATCGTTTTTATTCAGTTGAAAGAGACATTATTGTTAAAAAATTCTACTCGATTTAAATGTTTTCAAACCATAAATATTCCGTTCCCTTCCTCTCTTTATACAATGTGTATTGGTGAGCTCTCTGATAAAGCTGGGTTGACTAATATAATTAACTAAATTTGTCAGATATGCAGTTTATCAACAGAAATAAATGCAATAAGAAAATAAATAGTGTTTAGTGTTCTTAAGTGAACGAAGTTATACCCAGTTCACGAAAAACGGTTACCTTGGGTATGAAAACAGGATGTAAAAGTATTTTTTATCAAAGCTGAATATATCATATACTAAAACATTGCTACAGGTCATTTCCAAGTATATATATGGTTATACGTATAAATAATTGTTGTATGTTTTGTTTTAGTGACAAGTATATTATCAAGCATATTATATCTCAAATGAGATGTCCAGTAAAATATACTATTGTATAATTTGAACTAGAAGAGACAACAAGAGTACGTCTTGATATTCTAAGATTTAATACACAAGTGATGTTACATGTAGCATGCTATGGAGGCGGAGCTTATCAGCAACTAAAGTCTGTTTCAATATATATCAATATAGAACAATAACTCGTTACAAAAGAATAACCTTTGACTTTAAAATTGCCGCGTTGAGGCGTAACCACGAATGGAAGTGATCCTGAATGTGCACGTTCATTGGTCAGGCTAGCAAACCGAGCCTGCAACATTTTCAATTTTGCCGTTTTGGGCGATATTTAGGGTTTCTGTTTTCTCTCTATTTTGAATATTCCACGTTTAGAATTGCTACATGACACTTATAGATTTTTCATAATCATTACCATGAAAGAACAATGATTAAAGAGCAAATCAATTTTTTGATCAATTTCTTGCAAATACAGACAATAATTTTACGACTTTTAAAATCACTTATAGCGCAGCGAGTAAAAATCGTTTTAATATTCATTTGTGTTTATGTAAATCGTTAGTAAATAAAATGTTTTTCATGGTTAACATAATTATAGAAAGAGAACGGTAGGCATGTTGCTTTGCATTTGCAACGGATTCTAAAATCTGCTTTTAACTTTTTTTCGACTTGGAACTGGTGCCAGAATTGACAATTGAAGAAAGGATTTACGCCATAAATAATAAACATATAAACATATTAAGGTAGGATTTTGCTGTCTGTACCCCCGGTTGATGTATACCTGACCTATTAATCATGGCGTAGACCAAATAATGCCAGAAAACAAAATAGCTTGCAACTGAAGCCCGCTCTAATACAAGCAACTTCCAAGGTTATGCGAAGTGTTTGATAAAACGGCTTATAAACTAACAAAGTTTCAATATTCTGTGGAAAGCTTATATTTTTTCCCTTAGACTGGTGCATATCCCAAAGAAATTGGTACAGAAATAAAATATTTACGGCTATTTTCTTTTCCGAATCGAGCAACATTTGTCTTGGAAATGATGCCGAAAATGACGTCAATGTCACGTGGTATTGCTACACTGCAGTTTTTGTATACATTGCTTGCAATGTATACAGAGTTATAGCTGCATTTCAGAAACGATATAGGTCGACTGTTTTGCTAGACAACATCCACTTTCGGATGAAACCTCGATAAAAGTAGATCCTCATTTTGCAGGTTTGTCACATTTAGATCACTTTTTATTAAAAATATTGTTTGCATAGTTGTCAATAAGCTTTGAAAATTCAAAACTTTGCACTTTCAGTTTAAAGAAACATTTTTAAACATGAAAGCCAAAAATATGAATTTTACTATTTCATTGATAAAAAGCTTTGTGCACACCTACGCTTCAAACTTCGTAACCACGCATGCGCGTGCAAGAATGAATGAATTACGACTGACCCTGTATAAAAATATGTCCAACAACCATAATAAATATTAAATCAAACAAGTTAACCTTCTTAACTCTTAAATTTACACTTGCATATTTTTTTTCTATATCAAACTGTTTTACACAACGAGCATATACAGATATATGTCTTATTTAGTGGTATGTAACATTGTAAGCGTCTGTATGAATTGAATAGCAGTTAACGTTCTGAAAACATATTGTCATATAATTGCATTTAATAGAACCCTATCAACACGGTGGCATCGGAGGAATATGCAATTATTTGTTGCACACCTGCAGTGTTAAGTATTTCTGCCACTTAAGTGAAATATATCGCCCGGAAGGGGAAGATTCGTACTCAATATTATTCGAACTAAGGATTCGTACTCAATATTCGAACTTAGCCTTCGTAATCGGTATTATTCGAACTGACAATCATGGCAGATACGTTTAGACCCAATGGACATTTAGATGTTGAAAATGGTAACATATCACATAACTTTATCAAATGGAAGCGCCAAATGGAAATTTACTTGACTAGCTGCCAGCGGAAATGCTGAGAAAGATGAAAAGATACTGTAAGTAAATATCCTATTACACTGTGCTGGACCTAAAGTTATAGAGATTTATGATCAATTTACATGGGCAAATGCAGAACATAAACTGAAGGTGGACAAAGTATTTGACAAAATAGAAAGCTACATATTCATGATATTGCAATCCAAGAAAAAAATGAAGTGCTAGAATCACATAGATTATCGGTAACAAATCCAGATGAATATACATCATTTGACAGTTTTCTTACAGAGTTTTGAAAGCATGTTGAGTCTTGTAATTTGATACACAGAAAGAAAGAATGCTTAGTTAGAGATAAAATTGTGTTTAGCAGCAACGGAAAACAACAAGAACTGCTGTTATTGAGTGTTAAGAGAAGAAAATCTGGGCTTTGAAAAGACAATCAAAATATGCCGAGCTTACAAACAATCGAATAAGCATGTGAAAGAAGTTCGCAATACAAATGATCAATCAATCCACAAAATATGACAAACAAGATCAACAAGGAAAGCCGTGTTCAATGAACGCAACCCCCATTTGACCCAGCAACAAG